TGAGCTTGATTCAAGGCGTCCGTCTTCTTCAACGCGAATTCAACAAGTTAGCCGTTTCTCTATCGGACACTTTAAAGAGAGGCTCCGGGCACCGCGCGAGATCCGCGAAGAGATCTAGATTAAAGGAACAAGGGCTTTCCCGAACCACCGTTGCCTTCTTTCCCTTCGCCAGGAGGAGTATTCTTTCAAGAAAATTCCCTTGATCTTTCCCCCTGCACTCGACTCTCTGCCGCGATAAGGGAACGCGCTTTGACCGATCGGGCCAATCTGCAACTCGCACGAAAGATTCGTTTAAACGCGAGCAAGTTCAAATGGCAACACCGACTTTCAATGAGTTTCAATACCAAGCGCGCGCCTTGATTCGACACTGATTTTCTCGCTGGTTCAAAATGCATCCGACGAAAATTTTAGCCTCAGACTTTAGCGAATGATCGAGTATAAAATAAATATGCGCGCATGGTTTACGTTCACCTTTTATGAATACATTGTCCGCACTGTACAAACCCGTATTGATATTTTATTAACACTGCGATGAAACGCGACTATCACGATTACATTTATCCAGTCTGAAACGCGATGGAAATACGTACACGTAATATATAAAGGTTAATAGAGGCATGATAAGAGCCGAGAATTAATTATAAATGTAACGATACGTTCCCTATCGTAACGATTAAAGTGTAATAAAACGCCTCGTTAAATATTCGCGCAATACGAAACAGCCGAATATTAAATATTCATCTTCAACGAGAATGCAAATAAATCAAAAGGGGATGTACGATAAGTTGATTGCGAAATTATGCTTGTCGTACGATGTAGGAACGTCAACAGGAAGGTCGACCATCCGATCGAATCCGAAGCCGAATGAAATGTTAATCGACGACGGGTATATGTCGTTTCTGAGATGATCGCGTGTAAATGGAACGAGAAGGACGAGCGAGCAAATATCGCAGGGACGAGGAAAAAACCACGTGAAACAGAAGGAGAGATAGAACAGACGTGAAGGTTGGAGATTAGATTACAAAAGAGCTTTCCTCTCCTATCCAGTGCAACCCCTTTCGTGCAACCCCCATCTTACGTCTGAACTCGCGTCCGTTCACGCGAATTTTCGACGATTATTTTTCTATAAGGGATGCCCATAATGTCGTTTCCTTCAAATTTAATAAACATTGCCACGATCTAACTTGTCAACAACCTAATCTATATTCTAGTCAAATATATTGACATTTAGTTAACGATTATTTATTATATTATAATTTCATATAAGTTTTAATTACTTTATATTACTTTAGCTTTATTATATCAGTTTCAAATATATATCACAGATTAACTCTTGAATAAAACAAAAATTTTGCACAGCATCAGAAAACAACATTATGGGCAGCCCTAATATTTCTGCTATCGGCGCAATTAGTCGAGTTCTCTTAACCGGACGCCACTCGATGGTACGCCGAGCAAATGAAAGCCTCCTGAATGGGAACGCATAAATTTCTGCGTTACTGTCGGCCGAGCGAGAGAGAAACGTGAGAGAAAGGGCTCGGTTTCAATCCGGGGGTCAGTTCTCTGAATGGACAACGAACACCATCCGCCTCACGGACAACAGATTCTTCCTTTCTGCGCAGGAAATACCCGGTCTTTGTTGGTCCCAGTCTCGGATTAAACAGGGGAATTGTTGAATTTTTTCTATCAAGTGAGGAAACACGTTGTTTAGAGAGAGAGAGAGAGAGAGAGTCGTGCCTGACGCCGATCTCAAAGAGTTCACATTGTTAAATATTTCTCAACGACAACGTGATATCCACAGTGAGAGAACCAAAAAGTGAGCATGCATCGTGCAAAAGTGAGACTCGCATTACATTTACGCAATATGTAATTAAGGTCTTGCTTTAAGCTTGCTTTCTTTTTAACCCGCTGTACGTGTGTATGTGTGTGAGACACTTGTGGCATTTCAGAGGCATTTAAAGATTAAAAAACGCGGAAAACGAGAAACCGACGAATCTTGCAAAAACAGGACATAGTCTCGCTAAAGTATCATAATTTGAGATATCACGACAATTACCGGGGACGAGCGATCAATTCAACGATAGTACAGACAGATCTCACTCGCGTATCTTCAAATCGAGTATTTAACTGCAACTGCGCCGCGAGGATTTAATTGTCTGGATTTTCGACCGAGATTAAGATCCGAAGAGGACAGTAAAAACTCTTCGGATCCCAACGCGTATGGAAAATTCATATCTTCGAAATGCACGCTCATTTTCAATTCCCACTGTAAATCAATGAAATTCGCTGGAAATCTGGCGGTACAAGCACTTTAGATTACGCGGAACGCATATTATGAATTTTCGAGCAAGGTGTTCCGATATTTGAAAGCGTACGGACTTCTCAATTAAAATTTTATCACTCCGTGATCGCGTTATTTTAATTTAACAAGTTATTTTAATTTATACTACCAATTTGCACCTCCAATCTCAACCATTTCCTTTCGAGATTAAGCGACAATGTACGATCGTTTCGATTCGTTTCAATTCAATTAACGAGTTCGGCGAGAAAATTACGGCACGAACGATGATTACACGAACGATGATTTCAAATCTTTACCAACAATGATGTGTTCTATACGCGTACGTAAAAACATGAAACGTCGAACGTAATGATACGCAATTGTTCAGAATTGAACTTTATTTTCGATTTTCGTCAATCGCGCCACATATTTCCCCTTCGAATCATCGAGCAACGAATGCACGCACGTCTAATGGAAATTTCGTCAATGATTACTCACTCGGATCGCTGGATGGCTGCTGGTTGAGGGAAGGCGAGAAAGACCTCCGTGATCACGACACTCGCGTGCCCGAAATTAATAAATCTATCGTATTTAACACGTGACGGCGATAGCAAGGCGAACAGAGCACGCGAATGGTTAATAAGAGCGACGCGACGGAGAACTTGAATATTTTTCGAGAACGCCATGATGTATGCTAGTCGATGACCGAGCGAAGACTGAACAGGTGTCCCCGCGTACCCTTAATCCGGCGTACGACACAAGTTTCTACAAATCGAAAATTCCACGAATCGCTAAGCCTAGCTGTAAACACCGGATAACGATACGGGGACATTGACAACATTGATGACGTTTGCAAAATAGAGGGAACGTACCGCGTCTTACAAGCAACAGTACGATTCCACGATAACAATATTCCTTCCACTTCTCTCTCGTTTTTTTTTCTTGTTCTCTTTCTCTCTTTTGTGATTGAACGTATCGATGTTTGGACACTGTCTGGGCAATATACGAGCGTGTTTTCGTCTCTGCGCGATCATTTTTTCGATTCGCGGAAGTTTTCGGTCGAGCAGATGGCCCGAGGCTTATGAATAATAAAATAACAATCAGCTGAACAACGCCGGGGACATTTATTGCGTGAGAAAGCACTTCTGGAGATTTTCGAATCACTCGAGCTGAAATGTAAAATATGCACGTGAGATAACGTAAATAACAAGATACAAATGAAAAAAGAATTATAAGTCACGGGTTATTTCCATGGTGCATGGATGCGAGGTTTTTTGAAATATCTGACCTTTCGGATGGGGATGTGTTAATGCATAAAGTGGTTAAAGAGAATATTCTCCTGAAAATTAGACGTTGCTCTCGAATAATAAAAACGTATTACGGTTTTAATCGTGGCCCACGAACTGCACGGTAATGTTGAATATACTCTTCTACAACGAGTTATACGTCCGTCATTTTTGCACAATAAAGGAATATTATGTATAATCAGTTACGAATTGAAGAACGATATTGGAATTTCTGTTTAAATTGCATTTAAACTAATTTACGAGATATTTAGAACAAGATTTCTCTAGAACTAGATAGCCTCTGTTAGAATTAAGGCTACCACTGTCTCCGCGAGTTTTTCTCCGACCACGAACGGCACGAAATATTGGAAAATTTTTAGCGAAGCTCGTTCACCCAGATGACGAGAATGTTTCGAAAGAACTCCGTGAATAAGTATCAAGAACAAGAACCGCTGCTTTTGTAAGAATTCGTCGAAACACGAACGTAAAAAAAAAGATAGCAAAAATCCTTCTAAAAAAAACAAGGATTGATCACCGAACTGCTTGTACAAATCATATACAAAGCAGTCTCCGTGAGTCAAGTAAACGAGAAATTAAATAAAACCAGTTTCAGCTGCCAAGCATAAAATATAAAATTCTAGAATTAGATATAACATACAAATTGTAACGTATGTACAATAAGTAATGTCGTTCTCCTCAAATTTAATAAACATTCTATTACCATTTAGTGACAATAATTTAAATTGTTATAACTAACAAACTATATTCCAGTTAAATATATCGACATTTAGTGTGCTTACTGTATTAAATGAAATAAAATGAAATTTTGTACAGTATCAAAAACACAACATTACTTATGAGTGCCACTAATACAATATATATACAATTGTAGTTTACAAATGTAATATAGAAAAGGATTGATCATCAAGCTGCTCGTACATGTCATGTCTCCGTGAGTCAAGCAAACGAGAAACTAAATAAAATTTCAGCTGCCAAGTATAAAATACAAAATTCTAGAATTAGATGTAATATACAAATTGTAACGTATGTACAACAAGTAATGTCTCCTCAAATTTAATAAACATTCTATTACCATCTAGTGGCAATAATTTAACTTACAATAATAAAATCAGTTTCAGCTGCCAAGTACAAAATACAAAACTCTGCCATTTAAACGGTAAATGCAATTTTAATACATAACTATCGGCAGCAGTTCACATCGCCAGCACACGCTGCACAAACAGGGACAACTCCCTCCCCAGACTAAAAACCAAAATTCCCAAGTGTGTTTCTTGCCACGAACCACCCTCTGAATATCACAAACTGTCCTGGCAAACACGAACCGAGCTCCGTCACATCTTCCGGAAACAATCAACTGGTAATTCATCATGCGCCGCGAGTCACGCGTGCTCGTAAGAAAATTTGTCTCGTACCTGAAATGCTCGGGTGCTGGTGCAATCTCAGCGGACGACGATGACGACGTGCATCATCGCTGCTGTATCGTCTGCGTGCGTGATGCTGTTGATTCTTCTCTCTCTCTCTCTCTCTCTCTCTCTCTCTCTCTGAGAGGATGTTTTGTTGTGATCCAACGGCGACGAAATTTTGACGTGAGAAACGATTAAAACGTTGGATCGTTAGCGAGACAATGGCGCGATGGTGTTTCGGCTAGCGGCGCGCTGTTTTCGTGGATTTAACGCTAGCCGGGCCATGGAGCGCGCATTATCGGCCGAGACACCTACCAGAAATACCATTAGCGGCCATTTATTTCGAACGAATACCCAATCACGACGTGGCCGATAATCTGGTGTCGGGGCACGTTTTAGCAGCGGCCTCGTTTTTCGTTCGACGTTCACGACGATCTGGGATCTGGCGAGCGCGGCAGAGAGTTCAACTTCGAGTATTCCAGAGACATGAACATTCCTTGGCTAGATCGAGCTCGGTGATTAACACTCCCGTTTTGATCGTCCTTGGACGATACAGCTTTGACTTGTTACAAAATGTACTCACGCAACTTCTGCAAATAAATTACAATCCGAACCCGTGAGCAGTAAAAATACATAACTCGCGAACGTATTATTTTCTTGAGAAGAGAATGCACGTGTGTATTTGACGAGAGAAAAATCTGGGTATAGTTTTCACAGTGACTGCAAACGAGAATGGCAAAGTCATTTCAATGTATATTAATTCTACGTTTTTATAAATGGACTTTAAAATAAATGTATATACGTATTAATATTTGAAAAGAAAAATACCTTCAAATATACTTTATACCTTGTACTTTTAGATGTATCAATATTTTTAAATATACTTTCCCCCTCCGATTACTAGAGCAACCCGAAAGGTTACTGCTTTTACGTTTGATTTTCACGCGAAGGGAAGCGCTCGAATGTTTTAGAAAACATCTTTAATGTCATCCTATAAATAAACACGATCATTCTCTTGTGCTTCTTTCTCAAGTCTAAGAAGTTCCATTCAATCAAAAATAACTGAAATGTCAATTCGAACGTTTGATCGACAGAGGTTCATGAATGACATTTCGCATCAATCAGAGTTCACGATGCACTTATATCGCCATAACACGGTGGCGACCCTTTGCTAGTACTATTTTTATTCCTTTACGACACACCCCTTTCATATACACCTGTATCCTCCTCCTACATGATTTTATTTTTCCTTACAACCCGGTGAGTTCCTTGTTATTTATCCAACGCGTCGTTGCGTTTATTTACGCTTTAACCAGGAACGACGAGAGAGAGAGCTGGTTGTTAGAAAAAATGGAAAAAAACCTTCGAGGCTCTGCGACACAGAGTTATTAGAAAATTGATGAAATCCTGTTCCAACGACGGGCAATTGGAAAATTGAAAAATCCCTAAAATTCGCTAAAACATTCCGCGCTCTGCGACAGAAGTCGTTAGAAAAATTGGAAAATTTTTTTAAACTCTCGACGAGTAATCGGAAAATTGGGGGAATCTTTGAAATTCCACGACGAGCCATGTCGATTTCAAAAATTTTCGTCTCATGACAAAAAGTTGACTCTCGATTGAAGGATTAAAATGAATATCGTGTAAAATCTTCTTTTTCATTGTTTTTTTAACAAACTCGAGCTCAGCCATCGACGAAGCTTGGTTCTCCAGAATAGTCGCAGTGTTTGGAAAGAGGAAGGTGTGACAGGAGAAGTGTTGCAGGTTTGCACCAGCTCCCATCAGTATTCCATACGCTTTCAGGAAAGCCGGCTCCCCTGCGCGCAGCCAGAAGTTCCGGCCGCAGCTAGTTTATCGCGAAACGAAGAGGTTCAACTCGCGTGAACTTGCTTGCGACCGGGCAACAGCCCGTTTCGAGGCAGCCTCGCCAACTTTGAAGTGTTGCACGTTTGATCGTTTGCTCAGCGCGGCGCTGGCAAATTATTTTCAGCGAGGAGCAAGCCGAAATTGTTTGCCATTTTGCCCCGAGAAAGAGTTGCTCGTCCGATGATCGTGCGAATTGTGGTTGCAATCGAATCTAAAAATATCGGTTCTCTCGGAGGCAAAGCAGACAAGAGGCAACGAAATATCTCGTTTATGTTCTTCTTCTTCGAAAAACACTCTGTGCCAATTTCCTGCCGAGTTTCAATATCCAAAGTGAAACACGTGAAACAATTTCCTACCGTTCTTAATTGTACTCCCCGAAAAACTTCGCCGTTCTCGCGTGTATTATTTTAGAAATTTTTCAGAAAAAGAGAACACCAACGCCAGCCGGTCTAATCGTAAACGAAAGCTACAGAAAAAGATAAAAAAAGAAAAGAAAATAAATGAACTCCAGTTATACGAAACCACTTGTTTCGCAGCGAGTTTCTAACGAAACGCGGTTCTATTACCGTTCCCTCCTACGATTCTCGATTTTTCATCGTTCATAATGAAACGTCCGGCCGACTATCTAACCCAGCCCGAGCAGCAATTAACCTTTTACGTTTCCAATTCTCCTTTCGTTCTCTTCGATTCGCGGGTAAAAGGTTGACGACAGCTCGTACGTCGGGGCGAAAGAACGAGGAGCGATGAACAGAGAAAAAAAGAGAGAGAGAGAGAGAGAGAGAGAAAAAGAAAAGAAGGGAAATAGAATCGAACGACGTGAAACGAGAAGCTAGACATCACATCCAGAGGAAAAAGGTCAACCAGCCACTTAGTCTTTAATCCTCTCATCGAGTTCCAATTAATACACGTCGACAGTGGTTGTTCAACATTCAGGAAGGAGAGGGTGGGAGGAAGGTAGGAGGGGCTCGGATTAATTGATTCGACGTGGTTTAAAATCGCCGCGACCACAATGGACCCTCCAACAAGACCCTAGACTTTTCGACCGTCTCTTCTATTTTTATCTCCTCCTGCGGATTAAGGAAATCATTCCGCCGGATGAAGGAAGTCTCCCGCGCCGCGATCGGGAATTTTTGTGGGCCGATAAGACGGCCCGGGCCGAATTGGATCCGATAAGAGGATCAAGAGCGAAATTTGTGACCGCGGTTAACGAGCGAAATGGAAAGCAAATAGGGATCGTTTCAATCGGGCGCGTGCATCCTCCCGATGGAATTCTTTTCAAGCGACGCGAAATCGTGGAAGCGAGAAATCTGAATGTGAATTTTTATAGAGTATCGATGGCTCGTTTATTGCGGTAGAATATCCCTTTTTTTAATTACTCATTGAATTATTGATATTATTCGCACGGGCTTGCATCTCTCTTCACGAGGGAGAGTAGCACGTTGTTAATTGAAATATTACATGTTAGAAATAGTGGCGCCAGAGTCGATATTCTTTTACCCTGGCGCCATTACTTCTAACATGTAATATTCCCACTATATCTATAGTTTGCAACTAGCCACTATTTCTAACGCGTAATATATCTCTATTCTATCTGTACTTTGTAACTGTAATTAAAGATATCGCTTGTGTCCATTCTTCGAATCGAACTTGGACCCTTTTTCTTTTCGTCTTTGCCCGCTTGATATTCAAATAGTTCTTCCTAACCGCCAGTTAAGACGTTACAATCGAACGAACTTTGGCAAAAATGTGCTTACGCTCACGCTCTTGCCCGCTTATCTCCGATGTACCTCGAGGCGAGACCGTTGTACCATAAAAATTCTACAGACGCGTAATCCCGGAATTGTGATTCACGATGCCGGGAAGACTTTAGAATCGCAGAAGATTATCGCGAACGTCCGCTCGCGCTTGGGAAGAGTTTCGCGAGAGATAAAAAACACTTGTTGTTTTCTCTTTTCCTTTTTTCTTTTTCGCAAAGAGGAGGGTAGCTGCGTGCAGAAAACATCGAACGTGTTACAACACCTTACGTAACGCGTTACGTGGGAAATATTCAAGTATTTCTAGCGTGCAACAGTGGAGGACAAAGGTGACCCTGTTAACGACCTTTCTTAATCCGCCGACCTTACGCTCTGCCGAGCGAGGGTTATCATACTCGATAAATCAATAAATTTTAATAATCGTCGGCCGAGAGGCGAACAAAGGGCCGAACGATCGCCGAGAGATCGAACGTTTCTCTTATTCTTTTCTTGCAACGCGACGAGGGGAGGAACTCTCGAGCAAAGTCCGCGATGAAATTTTTAAAGCGGTACGATCATGGCGGTGAATCCCGGAGAATTTCTTCCTACGACACAACAAAGAGAGATTGTTCCATTATCTAACAACGGCAGAGAAATCTTGATGTGCAAGCACGTGCAAATGCAAAATGTTATACATTGGATCGCGAAAGTATTTAAACATTCTGTCATTCTATTTGTTCATGATTTTATTCCATTATCTAGTCTCAACACTAGACCTACCGACGTCAGAGAAAAAAAAAAAAAAAAAAGATAGAGAAATATAATATTATTTATAACACTATGGAATATACAAACTTTTGTTTGTATATCTTACAGAAAATTATTTAAACTTTTAAAAATATGTTACTTTGTGTAAAATATATATCTAAAATTAAAAATTATAAGTTGATCACATTGAGAATCTGTACAATGTGTTTATTGATACAACGAATTGTTCATCTCTGAGAATTTTATATATATATATATATATATATATATATATATATATCGTAATTATTTCTATTTTCTTGAGAATAACACAGAGTTCGGACAACACACACCTCATCATCAAATCCATCAGAAACCCGAGATCAAAACAGAAACCAGCTGTGCCGGCGAAAGAAACGAAGGGAACGATCGACGCCCGGTTTTTCAAAAGATGAAACGCAGCTCAAGATGAATTCTCCTCGCCTTGGCGAGGAGAAATTGAACGAGAAACCAGCTGAGATCGGCTCGTCGTTAAAAAAGTGGATCCGCGATTAAACACAAGGAACCGAAGACGAAATCAAAACCGTGGGGAGAATCGTCGGCGAAACGGGAACGGTGAAATGAGTGAAATGATCAAGAGGCAAGGCGAGAGCAAGAAAGCTTTAATGAGAACGAGCGTTGCTGCCAGGTACAGGAACGCTGTTTCGATTAATCGTCCGAGCCAATGGGAAGGACGAAAGGTTCGAGGCTCTTGGCACGGCTTCGCGGACAATGGCTCGTTCCGTCAAACGAGAAACGACTCGTAGCCGCAGCTGCGACTAGTAAACGTTAAACACCGTCCACGTAATTGCGACGTGTGTCATCGTCTGTTCGCTATATATTGGGGGGGGGGGGGGCGTCTGTCCACGGTGATTCGAGGAAGCACGGGCGCATCGCGTGCAAACAGCGACGACTTGTCCCCTTAATGGGAAAACTCTGGACAACGTTGTTGCGGTTAGCGCGGGCGGGCTCGAAGGAGGGCCTTTGTCGATGGTCCTAGGACCATCTAGGTGCTAGGTGGCGAGAGAAAGAAGCTGTAGAAACGAGGAGAATGGATCGAGGTCGGGTTAATGTTGGACGGGGGGAAAAGGAGTGGAGTAATTGCTCGACGCTGCAACCACCGGAGTGGTAATCGGGCCGGATTCGTAATTTTTAGCGACAATTCAATATCAGATCGTTGCACGCGCACGCACGAGACAACTAAGACGTCTTTTTCCTTCCTAGCTTCGATTTTAGTCTGTCGATCAATTTTTTTTTCGACGAAACATTGTGACATTGGCGATCGATTTTTTAATCAACGACTCTTTTAGATTCTTTAGACTCTTTAGATTCTCCGTACGTTTCCCTTCTGTCGAGAAGTACGAATAAAATGTCGCGTATCCTAAATTTATATTCATTTCTCGCTTTTTGTTCGCCGACAGTTGCAGAGCTAATTCTCCAGCGATTCGAGGGGGACGAAGAGATCGTAACGTTACGTCGATCCAAGCTATTTGTTCTCCTAGGAGATCGGTTAGATCGGCGAGGATTTTAATAAATAAAATAGGAGGGAGGGGGGAAACGCCCGTTTCAGCCGAGAAGACAGCCAAGAAAAATTCAATTTGTCAGCTGACTGGATCTACGGATCGGTTTGATATCAGAGTCGGGGACCGGGAGCGAGGAAAGGTAGCTGGAAATTCGGTGGTTCGTGGAATTTAGATTCCGTCGTGGTACACGCGATCAAAGACGCCGCCGTTGAGAGCGATTTCGCAACGATTCACGGTGACAACCGGCCGAATAAAAGCAACCGGAATTCCAACGATAAAGCGATTTCCGTAGACACACACACACATACACGCACACACTCTCTCTCTATCATAATTTCACCTTCTTTACGGCGTCAAACCTTGCCGGTATCAAGCATGACGATCCAATAGTCGAGGCTAGACGTTCAATAAAATTCTAAATTCTATATTTTACTGACTCGTGTGTCGCTTCAATATACACGGTGCAATTTAATCTGGTATTTAACCCTTTGCAAGGGGACATCATACATAAATTTAGCTAATGAAAATCGTAAAATTTTTTATGATTGCTGATAATTATAACGAGCGTAGGTATAATGTACGATACGATACAATGTAACGACGTAAGAAGGAAGAAATTCTTTTGGGGATGGAGGCAATCGTGAGTTCATTATCATCGAACACAATCATCTAATTATCATTCGAATAATTCGTGACAGATGATGATAAACTAATCATCTTACTGCTCCTGACGAAAGTTTAGTAAAACGGCGAAGGAAATCTTCCCGAGAGATTGAAACTGTTTCATATTAAGGAAATTTCATGCTAAATGCCAATTGAACAGGATTAAACTTGATTATTTCCATAAAAACGCTACATCATTTTATTTGAAGCGATACCTCGCTCACTATTTCGTAAATAAATTGCTAGCAGATGAAAATGTTTCCGAGGGCAAAGACAGACGGGACCAAATATCGAAAAAAAAAAAAAGAAGAAAACGTCTCGGGATTTCCGGCGCGACTTTCAAACGTCTCACAATTGCAGTCAACTGACAATCTCCTACTCCTGCGAATGAACGAAATTCTGATTATAAATTGAGATTATAATTGTAGCTATATGCTTCTACTACTGAAAAATCTGACAATAAATCATTGTAAATCGTGGTAACTTTCATGTCGCACAATGAATTACGGGGGAACTCGTTGAAGCGTACGCTTATCAACCTCCCGCGACGGACACGGAAAAACAAAAACATTTTTCTCTCATATGTGTCGATACAAACGCGCCTGTGACGTTCGCAGGGCGATCCGAGCTTTACGAAACGAACCTTTGCCAGGATAGGCGGTGCACCTTCCTTTCCCGGTGGACAACTGAGAACAAATTCAATTTATCGGCCGGCTAAATCTCGAAATCGAATCTTTCGGAAGTGGAGATGAGGGGCCGGGAATGGAAGAGGATTAAACCCCGCGGAAGGTGGAGGTGGATGGGACTTTCGACCGTGTAAAATTAACGTCGAGCCCGCCGGTTCTTTAAAGCCAACCTCCATGAAAGAGCGTGGAAACAATAGAGCGACGAAATTGTGTACCGCTGGATGCAAGAGGAGCCCTCGCCGACAAAAGTCACTTCTGTACTCAAACGAAATGTTTCTCGCGCGTATCAAGATTATTCCAAGGCTTCGACATTACCCGGTTAATTTAAAATTAACGAAAAGACGAACATAACTTGCGTTATTTCATCGTCAACGAATCAACTGGACCAGATCTCTGTCGAATTTGGATAAGATTCAGAGAAATTTCATTTTCACGCACGGATTCGTTCGATACTTCACATTTAGCGCGTTTACTCTGTCTGGTTTCGTCTGACGTGCTACGAAATGGTACAACTTCTCGCGAGAAAGACACATCGAGTTGCCTCGAGTCGCACGACGGTTAACACAGAGCTACCAGCTACCGATAGAATATTAGGCAGAATTCATCTCCGCGGTACCGTTTGCAAAAAAAATTCCAAACTCCCCCATTTTCGAGGTAATAGTAAAGAGAGAGAGAAAAAGGGGGATGGAATAACAAAATGATGAAACGTTGTTCGCCCCGTTGAAATGAAAACCGGAGAACGCTGTCCTTTTCTCTCTCTCTCTCTCTCTCTCTCTCTCTTTCTTCGCACACGTCCCTCCGTTTTCCGAGAGATTCGTTCGCCAACGAGCGAGAGATCTGCGAACGAAAGATTCAATCTGTCGGCTGGTTCGGGCAGACGAAGGGATCGACTTTCTCCTTTTCTTTCTTTTTTCTTTTTTTTTTCTCGCGAGAAAGAGGCAGAGACAGAAAAATTGAGGGAAGGAAGAACGCGCGATTCACGGGCCACGGGGATTGCGAGGCGTGAAATTGAAACTCCCCCGTTGACGATCGCGAGAGCGACCTGTCTAGTTTTATCTGGCCGGCGTGGTTCCTGCGAGCGAGTTACCTCGTTCCACGTACGACGATCGGCAACGATCGAGGATCAAGCGAAGAGTAAGTGCTTCTTGTTTGCAAATTAAACCGCAGAGTGGAAGAACCGAGAGACAGAGGGCAGGTAACGAGCGACGGCGCTCGCGAAGACGCCGATACTCGACGGTTCGAGTATCCGCTACCGATTTGTTTGCTTCGTGTATATATGTACATCGATTCCTCGCTTCTTTCGAGGAGGCGTTTCGATCGATCGTTTCGAGCTTCCGAACCTTTCCTCGGATCGTCACTCGTCTGGCTGTTCGAAACGCCGTGCAAATTGGAGAGGGCGAGCAAAAGAACATTCGCGTGACTTTTCCTCTTTGCGACGATTCGAGGCGATTGCCAACGAATCTCGATGGCTCGAAACCTTCGAAGCGAAGTGCGAACGTGCCACTGCGAAACTCCTTTCTGAGAAACTCGATCCACCCTTTCAGAAAAGGGGAAAGCAACGAGGAAGAATCAGCGTGTAATCCAGCGAGCAAATATCCTACAAGACAGGATCAACGACGAGCGTGTTTGCCATCGGTCATCCCGAGCCGCGAGTAACGAGAGGATCCGTCTGACAAAAGCCTCTTCGTGGATTCTCTCTTTCTCACCATGACTCCAGCATTCAGAATCTCGGCTACGATCTCGTCCACGATCGGTCATTTGGAGGAACGAAAAGACCGAGAGAGATCGGCACAAAGCTGCCCGCAACGAAACCGCTATCGAAAATCATCGTATCAGCCTTGCAATACGAGACTGAGCAACAAGTTACCAGCAACACCATAACGATCGTCATTTTATTCCTTACGACCGTCGATCCATACCGATATGTAATCTAATCATCTGAAACTCGCCGAGCCTCGCTTGAAAACTCTCCATCGATCAATCCTCGATCCTTCTCGCGCGGTACAACAGGTCTCGCGTCACACCGGTGAGAGTCGCGACAGGTGTGAGTCGCGTCGAGAGAAGAAGAATCGTGCAAAGCGTGCGAGCGTCGCGCGAGGAAGGGTGTAATTTCAGAGGAAGGGTGGTGACGTTTGTCAGCGGGGAAAACCGGTGGTGTGGATGATACCGTGACGATACGCGTTGACTTGCCACGGATCCCAGGGTGTCGGTGATGCGGCGTGCGTGCACCGACGACGGAAAAATCGTGGTCGAAGTCCCGGTGAGAAAGCCGAGAGCGAGACGTTCGGTGGTGTCGAGGTGTCGTTGTGTAAACACGGGCTATCGATATCCGTTGAAAGCGGCGGCGACGGCGACGGCGACGGCGACGACGACGACGACGACGACGGTGGCGGCCCGATGGGAGACGCGCGCGCGATGCTGGAACGACCCGGTGGTCCGGAGTACCGTGCCAGTACTGGTACCGTGGAGTTTGTTATCGAGTAGCGGCGAGAAGAGAGGAGAGAAGCGGGCAGGGTGGTGGCAGCTCCGCTTGGCTGACAAGTAGACAGAGATGGTATTACGCAGGCGCTAACTTGGCTTGCCTCGCGGCGGCGGCAACCTTCCACCCTTCCTCGACAACCTCCCCCGATAACTCGAGTGTTCGGCCACCCTACACGGTTAGGCGATGCCACCTACACCGTCCACCCATCCTTGGAACGCCTTATCCGCTGCGACACGCTCATGTCCACTCCACGGTTCCACAGATTAATGACGAGGGCGAAACGCACTTCGAGCGTTCGTTCCTTTCGTTGTTTAACGTTGCTTAAACACCCCCGAGGGAGGGGGGGGGGGATGAGGCGTGCTCTGGAATTTTCAAGAAGACGACTTTCTTTCGAACTTACACGAAGCGCGTGAAGCAGATATGATCTGATTAAAATCGCTAACCTGCGATAATTTTTGCGACAACGATCCAGGCGAGAAAAGTAATCAGCGAGTTCTTTCTTGATTCGCGTGGAATGATTTTTAGTGACGAGGATGTTTCTGTTCTTTTTTGAGATTGAGCAATCAGGATTAAATTAAAAGTTGCTTCTCTGTTATATTTGAGAAAAAAAAAAGAATTCTTTCACGTTGTAATTGTAAGAGTGAAAATTATAATTGTAAGTGAAAGAATTGAAATTATGTAACGTAAGTGAAAATAAATAAATGTTAAATTAAGATTGCAGGTGAACGATTTTTTTTTTAACGTGACTAGGATGTTTCTGTTCTCTTGAGATTGAGCAATCAGGATTAAATTAAAAGTTGCTTCTCTGTTATATTTAAAGAAAAAAAAAAAGAATTCTTTCACGTTGTGATTGTAAGAGCGAGAATTATAATTGTAAGTGAAAGAATTGAAATTATGTAACGTAAGTGAAAATAAATAAATGTTAAATTAAGATTGCAGGTGAACGATTTTTTTTTAACGTGACTAGGATGTTTCTGTTCTCTTGAGATTGAGCAATCAGGATTGAGTTAAAAATTGCTTCCCCGTTATATATTTAGAAAACAGAATTCCTTCACGTTGCAGTTCTAAGAATCGAAATGACAATTGTAAGAAAGAAATTACACAACGTAAATAAAAAAAAAATTGGAATTACGTTGAATCGCGTGATAAATTAAGATTGGCGAATGCTGTACGATCGCACGGTGGTACTATTTGTAAACTGGAATTCGCCGGAGCATCGCAACATTTTTGCCAAAAAGCTTCTCAACGCGGAGGAGCATTATTTCGTATAGTCTGACATTCCTTGCGGTGTGATGCGGGATTTCACGGTAGTAAATATCGGACGGGAGGGAAGTTCCCGGGGATGGATCTTAAACTCCTTACAGAGAGCAATTGTGAAATAAGAAGGCCAGAGCCGAGAAAATATCACGAGCGATCTAAATTACCGCGCTTCTTCGTCCAACGAAACGATCGGAGAAGAAAGTGGAGGAGAAATATACGGGAGTAGGGGAACGTTCGAGTTTGGATTCGCGAAGAATTACAAGCATCGAATCAACATTTGTCACTGGGAGCTGTTGCCTCTGGATACTGGTGCCAGCTCTTCGAGGAACGTACGTCGACTTTCCCACGCCTATCCTATCCTTCCCGCGGGAACCTTGCAAAATTTGATCGACTCGATTCTCGAAACACGAAGCGATAACATTAACTGCGATTAACCTGAATCGCCCCTTTAACGATGCAACGATCGATTGAAGAAAATTGAGAGACAAAGGCGCGAAAGAAATTTCTATTACTTTAAAATATATAATACCTCTGCGAAACTTATGTCTCTCCAAGTTCATTTTCTCCACTTTTGTTCGAACCATAAATAATGAGTAATTATATAATATATAATTTATATTTATTATAATTTATATTTAACAATTTTATATAATTTATATTTATAATAATGAATAAGTTTCGCTTCCCTTCGGGTAATTCACGTGGAAATTCAAATTGTCTTATCATTCTACGGACACGAATATCTTACACGGCAACGTGATAATTACAACCTCGTTACAATTTCTGATTTCTGAATTTATTCCAAGTTTCTTTGAAATATATGAAAAATTACAAATTCGCGATTCTGACAACTCTGATGACTTTAGTTGGAAGAACTGGTTTGTCCAATGATAAGATACTACATCTTGGCGACGGCAGAAACACACAGAGGATTATTAGCTTGCCATTAGTTGCTCGACGAGAACTAATTCGCTTGATTTAACATCCGACTCGAATGTTAAAACGTCCACGGCCGCAGAACCGGATTCCCGGCGGAGTGAAAAACGTCCCGGTTAACCAAGACTCAATCGTCCAAATTCCAATCCACAGTACTCCGATTATGACACGATTGACGTGAGTTTTGTCGCGTTAGTACGCGTAAAATTTGCAAAATTCATCGCGATAAAACCGCGAACAAGAGAGACCGAATTTAGCCCTTGGCTTTTCACTCTCGATTCGTTACTCGGCCGTGAAAACGTTGCTTGTTGTTTTTTCTTCCGCTCTCCGATCAATGTCGCAGCAGCGAACAAACAACAATCTCGTTCGGGGTGATTAAAAAAAAAAAAAAGGAAATCTGGATCGCGTCTAGATTGATCGTTCATTAAGGAGCATCGTCGTCGAGACCCTTGTTCTATTTTCAATGCGATAGGGAGAAGCTTTATTACATCGGGGCTTGACGGAGCCTCAGCTGCCCTTTAATTACCCAGCAACGAGTCTGAGACAACGTATGAGAACGCAAGCTTGCAAGCAGAAGAACAATATACTCCAGGAATTTCTTCAACTGGCCGCCGAGAAACGAGTTTGAAAATCCGTAAAATTGCCTTCTATTTGAATTTGGACAGAGATAATTATTGTAATCAGAACGGAAGGTCGTTTCTATTGGACCAACCGGTTACGCTTTAATTTCTTTGTACACCTTTTCGGATTTCTTGCCGATCCAAATTCAATTTCGTGTCACGCCACTGTACCCGTTCAATTAATCGTTACATTTTTCGTCCACAATTATTACGATATCTCGACAATGTCAAACGAGGTAAAAAGATCTCGGTCGTTCGATTTTTTAACATTGTTTGAACGAGGGAACAGCTGCCGGAAATTTCCACGATCCCAACTGCTCGTCTCGTCAAACAATATCAAACAGAAGCTGATGAAACGAAAGACTCACGCCAGTGGATTTCGATCCCGATCCCAAGGATAACGTTGTCTCGTCGACAAATGTCATATTTCGGCGAATTATTCCGTCGTGTACGTTGATTCTGGCGAGTCCAGAGACGAGAAATGGACGAAGAAAAAGGCACGAGGCGAATATTGCACGAATACTGATCAAACATTTTCCCAGCAACAATAATCAATTTCGATGTCACAAATAAAAATAAGTCGAGTATCGGTGTATAATAAAGAATCAACAAGGGGAAATCGAGCGGAAGCAGCGCAGCCGCTCGATATTAAACACGTAATTTAATAAGCTTTTGAGAGAGACGCTTTTGACTACGAACGTTGAAAAACGAAGATGAGAGCAGCCTCGTTTCTTTTTTCCTCTTTTCTTTTTTTTACGTAGAGAGACTGCACGGAGGAGCGTGTTTCCTCTGTTTTTTCTATAACACGAGCCGCGGCAACTGTTGCCGGACGCCGAGATGAATGGGAAATTCCGCTTAAATTCGGAAAAATGATTTCGCATTAAGCGCCGGTTCGCCAGACAGTGTTTGAGACGTGTGTTTGCTTTCCATCGCGAAAGGGTTTTATATCGCTGGCGAACGTGCGAGACAACTTCGAGGATAAGCTGTCGTTTGATCGTCGGGAGAATTTTATATATCGATTCTCCCGTTGGAAAAATATTTGCGTTTCATTAAGGAGTTACAACATTTATTATCTATTACGCGGGGATGTGTTCTCTGTGATATTTGCTTGTTTCCAGACGGCGATACTATAAGATGGATAATTCAGGGGATAAACGGCTGAATGTATTGGAGCATCGATCGGCAAGTTTCGGGATAGTCGATCATTTATTCACGACACCTCGTGTCACTTATTTTCCCGATAGTATCCCTCGTTTTTTCTAACACGAAAAAATACACTGAAACTCACCAGATCTGAATTGTCCCGACGATACGTAGTCAGATTTGAATTTAAACCGAGATAAAAATGCTGCTCAACGTGACGAATCTAAAGAAAAAAAAAAAAAAAAAAAAAAAAAAAAAAAAGAGCAGTGACTTCGTTCTCATAAAATAAGACACAGAGAAACGAGATCGTCCATTCCGAAAAATCTGCATCAACTTTCTCCGTATGACCTGTGGTACAGTGTCCATTCCACGAGTTTCCAAGATTATCGGACCCGATCCTTCAGCCAGATCCCCGGAGGCTGGGGATTTTAATAACAACAATTCCACGAAAATTTACGTGTACCACGTAGCAGTTAAGTGCGCCATAGCCCGTGCATTAAATATAACCTAGCCGTCCTAGCCGCTCCGAGTGGCTCCCTCGACAGTCACGACGACGTTCTCGCATCGACGAAAGGGGATCGTGCGAGCAACGCTACGGATTGTCGATAAGGAACCGCGATAGGGGAGAACGTCCAAGGGGTGGTAAGAGTCGATGGATTCGTGCCTCTTGCCGTATCACACCCTCTTCAACCCTCTTCGACCCTCTCCGCCACCCACTTCCAGCCCGTTGAACCGACTACCCGTTTTTACCTTCCCCCCGCCGCTTTTGTCCACGCCCTGCCGTAACTCAGCTTTCGCGGGATTAACGAGTGGTCCGAGTAATCTTATTAAACGGTCACGTTCAGCGTGCTTTAATTGGCATGTAACCGACTTCTCGGACGACTGCTCCGACTTTTTCAGATTGCGGGAAAAGTCT